GTAGGTTCGAAATTACTTAATCTTGTGGAAGTTGCGGGTAGATATGGGTGGAATAATTTATTTCGGAAATCTAGTATTTTTCGTAAAATGTGAGAGAGCGAAGAAATAACATTTCATTCACTTCTCTAATTCGCTATATATTGTATCTAAAAAAAATCATTATTAAAGTTTTCTCCGACAATTTGGGCTTTATCAGTCAATGTGATCGACATAAAATCTACGAAAGTTGTCATGTGATCGTTAATTATTAATCGATCGTCTGATCAGGAGTCAATTTTCATTTCAGACTAATAACCAACTGTTCGAGTAATGTCGGAAAGCAAAGGGTATGAATATTTCGATCGTAAATCCTCGACATGGAATATCATTGAGTTTCTGAGCGAGTGCAACCTGGAACCGTTTCAGAAGAAAATAGATTGTTACCTTAAATGTCTCGATACTATTTTTAAGAGTGAACGTGGTGTGAGGAAGGAGACAGCGGAGAAGCTCCTTGATCAATATAAATTGGCAAGTAAACTTTTTTTGTGGTTAGTTGGAGGGGAGACTGTTGCAGAAACTCCACATTGCCGTGTAGAAGGTAGAAATTACTTTTTGTGGAAGTCCTACTATGCCATTACCGTAGAAACTAGTTTCTACTCTCGCAGGAGCCTTCACAACAGTCTCAGTGGCGTGGCACCGACCTACCTGGTAGACTGTCATTCAAGGCTAATTGCCGAGCCACAAAACTGGTGTCAGGGCGCAAGTGACCTACTTGGTCACTTGATGTTTTAAAGGCCACTTGCCTATCTGACACTGGACCCACTGGGCACAGGTGACCTACTTGGTAGCCTGATTTTCTGGTGGGAAAAATTGAATGGCAAATGGAGCATAAGTGTTAGCAGAAGAATATTCTAATTTCCAGATCCTCCTTGCTAGGATCCCAAACCCGATCGTAAGAAAGCAAGAGGTTGGGAAGAAAAACGTTCGCGTACGCAAATAAATATCCACCAGCCGATTAACGGAAATGGAAATGTAATCGGGAATACAGATAGCACTATCAATGTCGGAACTTCCGTTGCTACATCAAAAAGGGGTTTGAATCGTGAAAAGGTACAAATATATATATTTTTCAGCTATAACTATTTTTTGCATTTGTTACTAATGATCTACATTACTTTAGAGCAAGATGAAGTCACAAAACGGACTAAAATCGAATCACAAGATCTACCTACTGATCTTAGTGAAGAGGTACGACAGTGTTTTCAATGTATATTCTGCAACAAACCATCATGCGTAGTAAATTAACTTTTTCTTCTTAATCATGAATATATTGTTTAATGGCTTTATTAGGAGAGAGAACCTCCCAATCTTCTTTCACCGCCTCATTATATTTTAATAAGTTCTGGTATTGAACCCGATGAAGATGATAGTTCGGATGAGGAAGAAGGATTTTGTCTTGATATAAATACCGCTTCGTTTGACGATTATCTTGATCAAAATAAAAGAGATTCCGAGTGGAAATTACTAGATGGTCGGCAACTTGTTAAAGCTCTTAATAGTAAGACTCCGAAATGGCTAAACTATTTCTGGAAAAAGACAAAAAAGAGCAAACCCTATTTGCGAGAAGTGTCATCAGGTATGGTCTCATATTTTCCAAAGTAACCGATAAGAAATTTCTAACATGGTAAATATAGGTTAGGATTGTCTTCAATAATTGATTTATCATTCGAGGACGGAATGTGTTCATGGTTTGAGAAGGATTGGGCTAATATTAAAAAAAAGGTATATGAAATTGTTGATATGGAACCGAAAGGTTTCGAGGGGGAAGTGGAAAATGTAATAAACACCATTGAAGAGGAAAGTGACATCTATTGACTTTTAAGCATATGTACATGTTACATTGTTTACTTATCTTATGGCTATTTGACTATAATCGGATGTGTGGCGCGTACAAATACAATGAAGCCCGAGATTATTCATATAAAATCAAAACTAGCAATACCTCTCAGACGTTAATACAAATATCAAATATTTATTTTTATGTGTGAGTTATTTCTTTAATTTTCGATTTAACTACATTAGTCGCTAATTAATATTGTTAAATTTACTTCAGAATCGACAAATTTTTAAAAAATGCTTTTATTTTTGTTGATAAATCTGGAAAGTGCCAAGAAATAAGTGAAATCGAATATGCAATTGAGATGATTGCACTGATAATGAGCGAAATATTTAATGATACATCTGAATATATAAACCTTCGCTGGTAAAACCAACACATTTATTTTACATGAGCAATAAATAGTATTGATTTCATACTTGTATATAGGGGAGAGACACTTTCCAATGTAATGTCCGATCGGCGTAGAAAGATTGATTTACGAATATTCGTATTGCAGATAAACTTGAACTAAGTCATTCAGAATGTGCAAAGATTCCATTTCCTACGAAAATAGTACATGACCGGTCAAAATGTTTACGTACACTAAAAGGTATTTTAAATAATTTTTTGAAAGAAGACTTATCTGATAAAGAAGTGCGAGATTCAAAAATTTTAGGAATTCAGTTTTCTGGTAGGTGTAAAATTTATTCGCATAACGACTCAATTACATAGTTAACATTTTGGTTGTTTAAGGTCTACACGGTCAGATTATAGGAATAGAACTTTTAGATGATGGGTTGTACTTCGGACTTGAAGGTCCAACTTTTGAATTTCCGACACAACTTATGAATATTAAATGTCTCCGTAGTGCATTGAAGGCTTTATTTTTTTTCAAGGTGAGATACTAGCGTTAATTGATAGTAATTAATAGTTATTTATTTTACAGTATATATACTGTATATTAGGAAAATATCGTTGAAAAAGCAAAATTACAATCTGATCCGACGAAGACTAATCATCCTCTTCATAAGATACTACATCGATCGGGTAGCTCAAAAGCAAAACATTTCAAGATCAAGTATATTCGAGATACATATTTTACTCCAAAAAAAAGAAAAAATGATCAGAATAGTTATAATAATATTCTCCGATAATGAAATTGTTAAAATTTTTTTCAATATTTTTTTCGCACTGTGAATTGGGAAATGTGGAGAGTTGTGGATTGTATTCGTATTTTAGCCTCTAAAAGATCCATAGCAATAAGTCAACAATAAATGCACAGTAGTTCAGAAAATTATTGCCAATAATTGTCTGATGCAAGATTTTCACATACTCTATAATTCCCCGCAAGCATTAGTATAAAACGCTATTTTCTCTTTGTGAAACAAATCTGTGTATCACCGAATCATGTAATTTACTTTCTATATCAATAAAACCTCATTTAAAAATAATTCTGATCATCTGAAATGCGCAGAAAGATATTAACTACATCACTGTATCTGTATATGCTATTTCCGCAGTGCTCTTATTTTTAGATCTAGATGTGTTATTTTTGTAATAATGGTTAATATATGCTATTTTTGTAACAATGAAGCCAGGGCCAAGATCTCAGAAATACCATCATATTTTTGCAAATCTATGTGGAAGTGGATCGTGATCTAGACCAATAAATAATTAATCCGGTGATGATGTTTGACTTTTTTTTCCAGAAGGTTCTGGCATAATACATATATTATGAATCTTTGAATTGCTATCACGCAAGTCAATCCAATATCCCTGATGTTGGAATGAGACAAGAATGGAAATTGTACCTCTTAATCTACCAATTTACAGATCTGATCCTATGAAATGTAAGGGATATACCTCTGGCCACATTCTACATAATAAAACAAATTTCAATATATGGATTGTTAGTAGATTTATATGGAGCACAAATAGGGGCCACCTTTTTTTTCATTAATTCGAAAAAAGAAATACTAGCAGGGTAAGCTATTTCCCACAGATTGATAGATGATCTTAGTATAATACCGATTTCACACTATTAACGCGTCATGTATTGTTATTTCAACAATTAGACACCTATGAGTAATGTAATTATGAAAATGTAGTTATGACAAATACATATAATAAAGAAACATGATTTTTATTAAATCAGGTTAAAGTCTCTTTTCGCGCGTAATAGGCATACAGTATAAAACAAGCCTTTTTCCCAGCGTATTTACGCAAGAGAATTACATATTAAAAAAAATAATCGTTAATATCTAAAAAACTTGATCCACCAATAAAATCTCTTAATAAAATTA